CAGGAAGTGGATTGGAAGGACCAGGTGTGAAGGAGTTGGGCTGCCACAAGATCCTAAGAAGGGAACCACCATAATCAGGCTTGTGTTTTGAATATTTGACTCTAGCGTTAGTATAGGACATTCATCAGAGGGAGAAGTGGAAGCCGGGGGTCAGCAGCTAGCTTTGAGGCCAGCGCTGAAAAGATCCCAGGAGGTAGCACTGAAGTCTGAGCTGCAGAGTGACAGTGAGGACTGAGAGGCAGAGATGCCGTCCGTGCAACCTCAGGAAGTACATAGGATGGGACCAGTCGGGTGAGAATAAGAGTGGCCATGCTGACTCCGAGGCTGGGGCACCTGGCTGGAGGGAGTGCGGCTGACCTAGTGTAGAAGGAAGAGCTCTTTTTCTCTTTCCCAGCAAAACCTAACCCCCGATGTCACCCAGTAGCTAGAGTTTTGCTCCTTTTCTGCAGGCTACTTCCTGGTTTTTGTTGTTGTTTGAGACAGTCTTACTCTGAGCCCACGTTGGAGTGCAGTGGCGTGATCTCTGCTCACTACAACCTCTGCCTCCCATGTTTAAGCGATTCTCCTGCCTCAGCCTCTCTAGTAGCTGGGATTACAGGCACCCCCCCCCACCACACCCGGCTAATTGTTTTGTATTTTTAGTGGAGATGGGGTTTCACCATACAACCAGGCTGGTTTTGAACTCCTGACCTCAAGTCATCTGCCCGCTTCAGCCTCCCAAAGTGCTAGGATTATACGCATGAGCCACCACACCCAGCCCTCACTTCCTGTTTTAGCTCACCTTTCTGAACATCTTCAGCCCATAGAGTCTAGACACCATGATGTGGCACTTGATTATGTCTGTCTGGCCTTCAGTTGTCTCTGGTAAGCAAAACTTGCCTCTAACTCATTTGGGATCATCTTCAGGGCAAGATTGTGTCTTAGATGTATTTGGTTGTTTCCACTGTAGATTCTAGGACGGGAAGCAGGCACATATGAGCTCCTCGACTCCCCGACTTGACAGCGTTCCCCGTTTTCTTTTCAGATTGTGAAAACAGTGAGTGTGGCCCAAAGAAGAACATTTTTAAAGAGATACAACCATTGGGGGTGATAGCAGACTCACAATGGAGGTTCCCCCAGTAACCAAGTTTGGCCAGACCTTTGCATTTGAGAACAGGTTAGAGTCTCAACAAGGACTTTTCCCAGGGGAGGACCTGGGGGACCCTTTTCTTCAGGAAAGAGGTTTGGAGCAAATGGCCGTGATCTACAAGGAGATCCCTCTTGGTGAGCAAGGCGAGGAACATGGTGATTACGAGGGCAATTTCAGTCTGTGCTCAAGCCCTGTTCAGCATCAAAGTCTCCCCCCAGGAACCAGAGCCCAGGATGATGAGCTGTTCGGCCAAACCTTCCTCCAGAAATCCGACCTCAGCGTGTGTCAGATAATCCACGGTGAGGAACCCAGCCCACCCGATTATGCAGACACAGACAGGGGGGACTCAGGACCTAATGCACCTCACAGAACCCCACAACCAGCCAAGCCGTACGCGTGTCGAGAGTGCGGGAAGGCCTTCAGCCAGAGCTCCCACCTGCTCCGACACCTGGTGATCCACACCGGGGAGAAGCCCTACGAGTGCTGTCAGTGCGGGAAGGCCTTCAGCCAGAGCTCCCACCTGCTCCGGCACCAGGTCATCCACACCGGGGAGAAGCCCTACGAGTGCTGTCAGTGCGGGAAGGCCTTCCGCCAGAGCTCCGCCCTCACGCAGCACCAAAAGATCCACACCGGAAAGAGGCCCTACGAGTGCAGGGAATGCGGGAAGGATTTCAGCCGGAGCTCCAGCCTCAGAAAACACGAGAGGATTCATACGGGAGAGAGACCTTATCAGTGCAAGGAATGTGGGAAGTCCTTCAACCAGAGCTCGGGCCTGAGTCAGCACCGCAAGATCCACACCCTAAAGAAGCCTCACAAGTGCGATCTCTGTGGGAAGGCCTTTTGCCACAGGTCACACCTCATCCGACACCAGCGCATCCACACCGGGAAGAAACCGTACAAGTGCGATGAGTGCGGGAAGGCCTTCAGCCAGAGCTCCAACCTCATCGAGCATCGCAAGACCCACACCGGCGAGAAGCCCTACAAATGCCAGAAGTGCGGGAAGGCCTTCAGCCAGAGCTCCTCCCTCATCGAGCACCAGCGCATCCACACCGGCGAGAAGCCGTACGAGTGCTGTCAGTGCGGCAAGGCCTTCTGCCACAGCTCCGCGCTCATCCAGCACCAGAGAATCCACACCGGCAGGAAGCCCTACACCTGCGAGTGCGGCAAGGCCTTCCGGCACAGGTCAGCCCTCATCGAACACTACAAAACCCACACCCGGGAGAAGCCCTACGTGTGCAATCTGTGCGGCAAGTCCTTCCGGGGCAGCTCGCACCTGATTCGGCATCAGAAGATCCATTCTGGGGAGAAGCTGTAGAAAGAGGAGCCCACGCAAAGCCTGTGCCAGATGGAGCCCTTATCCACGTCGCATGGTCTCCAGACCCCGCCTACCCCCCTGATGCTGATTGGAAACCCTCCGACCTAAGCGCTCCTGAACCTCCCGCTAGCAGGAAGGCCACGCGTGTCCCCTGCCAAGACCGCCAGCTCTCTGCAGGTTTCCTGCGTGGAAGGGAAGGCAGGGCAATAGGGAGGGCAGCTGGAAAAGAGAGCTGGCCTTCAGTTTCTCCTTCGTGCATTGGACTCCCAAGCCTACAGGATTCCATTTTGTCCTGGCTTCACTTTTGCCGGATTCCGGAAGAATAAATGCCAAGAGGGAGAAAGTCGAGTTAAACCCAGGAAAATATCAGATGAACTCTTTAAATCAGGCTGCAGCCTGGCACTTTTAGAAGACAGAAACCACACTCACAGTCCAAATCAGTGGAAGAAAGATGGATTCAAAAGTAGATATGTCAGCAGCAAAGTGGAATTTTCCGACTGGGTTGGGCATTGGTAGGAACAACAGAAACAGGTCAACAGAGCAAAGGCAGGTCTAGAGGGTGGATCTTGGGAGTGGGGGTGAGGGTGGGGAGCCCCTGGGCATGGTCTTTTAACCCTCTCCTTAGCCCGAGGTCAGTTTCCCTCAGACAGCTCTGTTGCAGGAGGGTACAGGTTTGGTCCTGTTGGCCAGAGGATGTTTGACACCTGGCTGTGACTCAGCCTGGGCACCGGACATGTTTGCCCTTCAGGAGTAATCTCTCTGACATGCAGTGTCCCCAAGACCACAGTGTGCCTTGGACATCAGCAGGGCTGGGTCTGGTCTGGTCTGGCAATGATGCAGCCCTTCTGTCCCAGTGTCAGGGGACCTGGGAAGCTGGGTGGCTTGTTGGAGGAGGCTGTGGTCCAATCAGAAGCTCTGGGTTCAAGTCCCAGTTCCACCCCCTCCTACCTGTGTGAAATTGAACAAGTCCTGTAACCTCCCCAGGCTCCATTTCCCCATCCAAGAGTTGGGTAATGGGACCCAGCCATGTGCCTCTAAGGGTTGGTGCCAGGCTGTCATTTAGAACTCGGCCACAAGTGAAAGTGGTTTGGCAACTATGAGCAGTCATGGTGACTGAGGACAGAGACCCAGAGTGACCCCTGCCCCACCCCTGTGCATTTGCGCAGACTGGAGAGATGTTCCCATTTGGTGTCTGAGCAGTGGGACCTCTCATTGAACAGGGCTTTCCCTCCCTCCGCCCCTTACAGCCTGGGCTGTGTGTGCCCTTAGATGCAGTGTCCCGCACAAGGACACTTCCTCGTGGACGCCGTCCTGAGCTTCCTATAGTAGCAGCATCATTCTGTACTTCCACATTCTCTCTGTCCTCCCTGCCTGCCAACTAGAGTTCACGTGGGGCTTGTTTAAACAGTACCATTGCCTGTTTCACCTGGACCAGTTCAGTCAGCCCTGATGGTGGCATGTTTTAAAGCTCCCCAGGTGATTATAACTTCCTAGTGTGTGGCCAGGCTGTGGGCCCTGTGCTGGGCTTTTTTTTTTTTTTTTTTTTTTTGAGACAGGGTCTTGCTCTGTTGCCAGCCTGGAGTGCAGTGTGGGATCTTGGCTCACTGCAACCTCTGCCTTCTGGGTTCAAGCGATTCCCCTGCCTCAGCCTCCCAAGTAGCTGGGACTACAGACATGCACCACCTCGCCTGACTAATTTTTTATGTTTTAGTAGAGACGGGGTTTCATCATGTTGGCCAGGATGGTGTCAATCTACTGACTTCGTGATCTGCCCGCCTCAGTCTACCAAGGTGCTGGGATTACAGGCGTGAGCCACCATGCCTGGCCGTGCTGGGCTTTCACGCACCCCCTGACAGCTTCCAATGTCAGCCTGCTGGCTTTGGATGAGCAGAGCTTGAAGGCCATTCTGTCTCAGTGCCCCCACTCCTCACTCCACCAACCTGGACCCTCAGGGATGAGCTCAGGTAGTGCTGGTCAGCTGGGCGCTTGGAAAGTGTGTGTCCCAGGCCTCGGGGATCTCTTTAGTTGTGGCTTCCCTTGGGCTCAGAGCTAGTGGGGAAGGAGGCAGTCTAGGCTGTTTTGAAGTTCCCTAAACATTTATGGCTGGGCTAACATAGACTTATCATAGTAGCAGTGGCTATTTCAGCTGATCAGAAGCTCAGCATGGCCCTTATGCCTAGTTTTGATTAATAAATATGGGAAAGCCGTAATTGTTACTAAGTGGGGCTTGATAGGCCAGAGATTTCCAAATGACGGAAATGATGGGCTCGAGAGGTCACGGTGAGAGTTCTGGCCATGCCTCTGTCTAGCCCCTGTCTTTGCTACGTGTGTGAAAAAACAGGGGCTAGACAGAGGCATGGCCAGAACTCATTTAATCAGCCTCTATTGTCCACCAGAACCCTCTGCGTGACCAGCTGGACCAACTGGGTGGTGCCCTGGGCATTGCCTGCAAGTGACCTGTCTCTATCAAGAGTGAAGAGAGAACGCTAGGTTGCGGTGGGGACAGCAGGCAGCACCAGGCAGGGGCCTCTGAAAGATCTACCTCCTCTTTACCCTGCCCCGCTCTCCCACCGCTACCATCGGGCAAATGTCTGTTACCTACCTTTGGTCTCTCCCTCCCCATCCTTCCTGCACACCCCAGCCAAACTGATTTTTAAAGCATCACTTTGCACAAATCACCACACTCCTTAAAACCAACTTTCAGGAGATTTTCTGCACATAAACCCTCATTTCAGCCAGCCTGGTTTCCCCGACTCTGAGCAAGCCACATGGAGTTTAGGCTGCCCCTGCTCACTCTGGCATTACTCCCGCCTCATAATTCTGTCCGTTCTCGAATTTTGAAACATGCACTTTCTCCTCTCCCTCCCTCCCTCCCTCTCTTTTTCTTCTTTTTGTGTAACAAGGAGGTGACGATCCCCCTCTCCCCCAAGGGTTAACAGATAAACATGATAAAACCAGGTACTTTTCTTTTTTGGAAGTATGAGCAGAGCCTCCTTCCTTCTGTTCAAATTCTTTCCTTGTTTTATTTTATATGTATATA